ATGTTAGTACTCTTATTTGAAGATGGGCTTTTGGAGCCCCAATTCAATTTGGAACCCCAAATCAAAAGAAATAACTTTGAATGCGGCCTCCACGATGAGCTGGAAACGCTGCTGCAGCGAGCCGAACGCATTGCCCGAGAGGCCAACCGAGGTGACATCGAAGGCTGGGGAAGCCTGAACTGAGAGCCCAGCTAGAAGCATTTTGAAAATGGGTTGCATAGATGAAGCCAATGGATCTTGGCACCCCTTCAGTTTCTTTGTGGAGACTCGTGTACAGATTTCTTTGTATATACATTTTCTGTGAGTCGTCCGTCGTAATGGAGATTAAGAGCCGCTAATTTTCCACATGTGCATTTTGCGCTTGGTATGTTCCTTTTCTTTCAGCTTCGTCGTAGATTCGTTTCACCTCATCCCTCTTGGTATAGATCATTCTCACCAAACATCTCTCGCAAATTCATTGCATGTTTGGTTGTTTCAATGTGTGAGTACATAACCGCAAGGTTATGTCGATTTCGTATGTTTCACATGCGTGCGTGTTTTTAAGCATGGCGCTGACCCCAACAGGCCGACTAATTTCTAAGTCGGACATTGGGTAGCGCTTGCGTTGATTAGGTCCAATGCGGCAGTTGTCCAATATGCGTGACGGATCTCTTTTGTGTACACTAGTGGTGCGTGTAAACAACATTTTGTACAGCTACTACGTGCTATCGCGCACGTAGAGGGGGGCTGTTGTTATTCACTGCGCCAAACCCCTTGTTTTACCGTGTACTACCTGTTGAATCGGTAGCAACATCTGGCCCGAGTCCAAAAAGGTTACTTAGCGGATAGCTGCATAGCTTTGCTGAAACCTTGAAATATAGTTGTCGTTGTCGTTGTCGTTGTTGTTGTTGTTGTTGTTGTCGTCGTCGTCGTCGTCGTAATTGTTGTTGTTGCTGTTGTTGTTGCTGTAGCTTAGCGTAGCTGTTGCTGTTGCTGTTGCTGTTGCTGTTGTTGTTGTTGCTGTTGCTGTTGCTGTTGCTGTTGTTGTCGTTGTCGTTGTTGTTGTCGTTGTTGGTGATGTTGTCGTTGTTGTTGCTGTTGTTGTTGTCGTTGTTGTTGTTGTTGGTGGTGGTGTTGCTGTTGTTGCTGTTGCTGTTGCTGTTGTCGTTGTCGTTGTTGTTGTTGTTGTTGCTGCTGGTGTTGTTGACGTTGTTGTTGTGTTGTTGCCGTTGTCGTTGTCCTTTTCGTTGTCCTTGTTGTTGTCGTTGTGTCGCTGTCGTTGTTGTTGTCGTT